TAAAATAAAGGTTATATTTTTTTTTATCAAACTCAGAGAAAGCTGTGTTTTGGTCCATGAAAACATAAGCAAGAAGGGCAGCTAAGCCGAGAAAAATCCTATTCGCTTCAAAGGAATAATACAGGGGAAAGACGATCATTTAGGGATTAGGTAGAACTAATACATCATAAAAATCCGTGCTTGACAAATTGACAACCTTTTTACCTTTCTCACCGACACAATGGCGTTTCCGACACAGGAGAAAAGGCCAAACCGGGGGGCCGTTGTCTTCCACAACATGGATGGTCAACATGAAGCCGAGTTTACCGTTAATGGAAGAGTTTGAATTCAGAGCCAATAGTTGACTTTTAACTCTCACTTGCCTCTTTGAAAAATCCCATTTGCAATTTAAATATGATTGGATCTTGTATCTCATGACCATGATTTCCTAGTACAAATATCATTGCATTTGCATGGTCAAGTTCCAAAACTTCATTTATTTTTCCACTTCCTCAACCATCAGCTTTTCATCTACCCTTTTTCCCCAACAATGATCTTATAATTTGTGCCTCCTAATGGATCATATTTAACGTTCAATAAGTAATGTGCTGAAACACAGATAAGAAAATTATCTTTTTTTTTCCTTTTGGATGAAAACTTCATTTATTGGGATGTTTGCATTCTGCAGACTGAAAATATGAAGTTAATGTGATTCTCCCTTTCCCAGAAATTTATTTTTTAGCACCGCTTGTTAAGGTTTAACAAAGTAGATTAGATGACAATAATGGAAAATTCCAGGGTTGGTTTCTGTTTTTTGCTTTCTGCAATTTTCATGGTTGTTCTTGTTCCAGTTTCAATAGCTCAGCTAACTCCAAGTGAAACCAGGCTTCTTTTCCAAGTCAAAAGGATTCTCGAATACCCCCAAGTTCTTCAAGGATGGACAAATTGGACAAACTTCTGTTATCTCCCATCTTCTTATTCTCTCGAGGTTGTATGTTCAAACAGCCGAGTTACTGAGTTGATTATAGTTGGAAACGGGAGCTCTTCAGCTGGACAGACTTTGTCCCACAAGTTCTCCATTGATTCATTATTCACTGTGCTCACCAAGTTGTCTGATCTGAAAGCATTGTCCTTGGTGTCCTTGGGGTTATGGGGTCCCTTGCCATTCAAGATCAACAGGTTTCGTTCACTCCAAGCTCTCAACTTAAGCTCCAATTTCCTATCCGGAGAGATTCCCAAGCAGATTGCATCGTTAAAGAATCTAACCAGTCTGGTTTTGGCTGATAATTTGTTCAATGGGAGTGTTCCTGATCTTACTGGCTTAACAGACCTTCAAGATCTGAATATGGGGGGCAATCACCTTGGACCTCAGTTCCCTTCGTTAAGCCAGAGTCTTGTAAGTATAACGTTAAGTAACAATTCTTTTAGATCTGAAATCCCTTCTGGGTTGAAGAAATTCAATCAGCTTCGGAAGCTGGACATCTCTTCTAACAAAATCCTCGGACCAATCCCATCGTTTCTCTTCTCCTTGGCTTCGATTCAGTATCTTAATTTGGCCCGAAACCAGTTAAGCGGGGCACTTCCTTGGAGTACATCATGTAGTAAGAATCTCACTTTTCTGGATATCTCGAACAACATCTTGATAGGAAAACTCCCATCATGCATTGGATCAAATTCCAGCAGGAACAGGACAGTCGTTAGTTCATGGAATTGTCTGTCTGCTGATATGTCGAATCGCCAGCATCCTTATTCGTTTTGCAACAAACTAGCAGTGGCTGTTAAACCGGTCGAAAGCAAGGAGCGGGAGCCGGGATCAACTTGGGCCTAATATTCGGTATTATCGGAGGTGGTGTTGTCATGGCAGGAGCTATTGTTGTGTTAATTTTCTTCATTGTTAAAAGATCAAGAAGTGAAGATGCAGAGGATGACAGATCCATTGCAGATAAAATGTCCGTTCGTAGCTCTCCGAAACTGGTCATTGATTCAAGTAAGACTTGTCGAATTTTATGCCTTGTTTCAAAAGCATTGACTCAAGATTGTTAACGTGCCAAATTCGGTTGGTTTGCTACACCACAGGACGTGTTCCTCAGACAATGAGATCGGCTGCAATCGGGCTCCCTAGATATCATGTTTTCAGTCTAGAAGAAATCGAAGATGCAACCAACAACTTCGACCCATCAAATTTCATGGGGGAAGGATCTCAAGGGCAGGTAAAACATTTGTGTTAAATCTCATTACATGAAGCTATATATAAAAGGTTACATTATTTCTTTTGGAAGAAGATAAAAGGTTGCATGAAAGTTGAACAATTGGGTGGTTTCGATGTTTGCAGCTCTATAAAGGTTGGCTTGTAGATGGCTCGGTGGTGGTGGTAAAATGTTTGAAACTAAACCAGAAACATGCACCTCAAAATCTGATGCAACACATGGAAGTCTTGTCCAAGCTAAGGCACAGGCATTTGGTTAGCGTTCTGGGACACTGTATCGTTACCTACCAGGATCATCCCAATATTGCCAGTACAGTGTTCGTTGTTTTTGAGCACGTTTCCAATGGAACAATACGGGACTATCTTACAGGTAAAGCTGCCCCCTCAAACAATTTACTCGGCAAAGAAGATGTTAGATTTACATTTGATTTGATCTTGGCAGATTGGAGAAAGAAGGAAATACTGAAATGGCCACAGAGAATGGCAATCACCATTGGAGCTGCAAGAGGAGTCCAATTCTTGCACACGGGGATTTCACCTGCAATTTACGGAAACGATTTGAAGATCGATAACATTCTGTTGGATGAGACTCTTACAGCCAAAATTAGTGATTACAACATCCCATTGCCCCTTAAGGTGTGCTAAACAGCACCAAATACATCGTTTCTGGATTTAATGTGTCCTTGTTTTTCATGTGTTTTACTTGATGAAATTTGCAGACAGGTTCAGAAAGCCCCATTTCCAATCGGCTTAGCAGTGATGAGAATGGTGAAAAGGAAGACATTTATCAGCTGGGAATTCTTCTGCTACAAGTTATTACTGGTAAACTGGCCACATTCACAAGTGAATTGAACGAGCTTAAGCATCAGGTAAGCCAAGTTTCTTTCTTCTACTTCTTAGCTTAATGGCGTTATATAGAAGCACCAAACAGTGAATTAAATTTGGCAATACAGCTGGAAGAGAGCTTGGCAGAAGGACCATCAAAGCTGAGAAGCGTGATAGATCCTTCAATAAGGGGCACTTTTGCATATGACTCGATGAAAACCACGGTTCAATTCGCCATCAATTGCCTGTCCAAGGATTCAACCAAGCGCCCCTCCATTGAAGACGTGCTTTGGAATCTGCAATACTCGATTCAGGTTCAGGAAGGATGGACCAGCAGCGGCAACTTAGCCACACATTTGTAATAAATACTTCATTACAGTTTCTTTACCCTTTTTCAGCAACCATAATTTATTATCTTCTGTAACTTCACAGCTGTTGCAAAAATAATGTGTTTGCAGTTTCACTTGTACTTGCTCAAGATTCTTTAGTAAAATCAACATCATGACAAATTATCCATGTGGCAACAGGGTCCACCATCATTACTTCTGTCAACACCTTAAATCATTCCTTCATTCAATTAATCTTTCAAAATTATTTTGTGTAAAGTACACAGATAGACCTCGGATTAGGGTGTTATTTTATTGAGTATTTTAATTATTAAAAATTATAAAATAGTTCCTAATATTAATCTTCAAACTCGTTCTTTTCCGTTGAAAATTTGACGGTCGTCTAAACTGAATGTTGATTTGTTGATTGAGATAAGAACAAATCTAATCACAAAATTGTTTGAGATGTATTTTGTGGATCGAGTCTTTATTTACATTGTGTCCTCGAGTTAGTGTTTAAAACATTATATCGTCGAGCCAATGCTTGAAAGCAACGAAAGTGGCAATAAACATGATTGAAATATAATTTTATCATACCTCGGTTAACAAGTTAATGTCCAACTCAAACATTCGTCAGTAGATCATTTTATAACTTTTAATAGACAAATGACTTAACAAAATATCACCCTATAATCGAAGGACTATTTATATATTTTACCTTATTATTTTCGGAACCTGTAATGAACTACAAAGAAAAAAGTTACAGTGAATAAATATTAGGGCACAACTCCTTGGACATAAGCAAAGTGAATCGAGTCTTTATTTATGTTAAGTCAGCAAGTCAGTATCTAAAACATTATGTGATTAAGCTAATGGTTGAAAACAACAATAGACATTACTAAAATTTTAGTGGCCTGAAGTTGAAGTGCACAACTTCCTATCCATTAAGAGCTTCTTTGTCAACCTAATCTTTCATTTGTATCACAGTATACAACCGAAATGCACTACAAGACATTATAAAATGCTCCTTACAGGGGGAGCATAATCTGTAATCTTGTGTGGAATCCAAGTTGTAGGAGTTTAAAATTTTGCTACGAAACGAGGCCAGCATGTGTTTTTCAAGCTTTGAAAATCATAGAAAACAGCAATACCTGAAAATGAGGATCATCCCCAACCACTGCACCATCAGAACAATGCTCTTAATTCACTTACGATTTCCATCCAAGCAAGGAATATTTTGTTCTAAAATGAAACGTTGGAGACTAAAATGTTTTAAAAAAAAGAATGCGAGGCAAAATGATAATTTGTACAAATGTTGGGGTAATTTTGTTATTATTTCCTTTAAACAATAGGAAACTTTACAATAGAAAGACCACACTTTCTTCTTAAGTGGCATTATGACGTGTATTTATGTATACTCAGACATGGTAAAACGAAAATTATGAAGAAAAAAAATGCACATTAAATACGCTGGTAGTATTTTACGCCAAATGATTTGATCGCATAATTTAAATAATTAAATGATTTAATTGATAAGATAAAAAATGAATGACCAAAATAAAAATAAATAATAATTAAATGGTCATATACGGAATAAAATCCCAATGTGATTGAGTTTTAACATCAACAAATTTACTAAATAGGGGTTGGAGTGTTATTCATCCCCATCTTTGGCAATCACCCACTAAACTAAACCCGCCTTGGTTTCTCTCACTTTCCTCTTTAATTTTTCTCGGCAAAAACAAGCATGGTGAAAGGGCCTGGTCTCTACTCCGATATCGGCAAAAAGGCTAGGGGTTAGGCTTTTCTCATTCCCCACTTTATTTCTCATTTCACCTTCTTTTTGTTCATTCTTATTCTTGTTTATTTTAATTTCAGATCTTCTTTACAAGGATTACCAGTCGGACCACAAATTCACTGTCACTACTTACACCTCCAATGGAGTCGTGAGTTTTTTCCCTTTTAATTTTCAATTTTTTCTTTACATCTGATGTTCGGTATCGATTATTTTTATTTGTTTTCTTCGGCTTGATCCGAGTATTGTTCTCTTTAAGTTGAATTTCAAGGTATTATCTGCATTCAGCATTTTATTTATTTGTCATGTTTATGTAAAATGTCTCTGTTTTGCTGGTTATACAATTATGTATGATTTTTTTGCATATATTTTTTGTTTAGTATGCTCGTTTGAATATTTTGTATGTTTTATCTTGTGAATTTATGACCGGTCTTGAGATTAGTGGTTTTGGCTCTTTGTTTCCTTTTGTTCAATATGTTACTGTGTTTACTAGTTCTTATGCTGATTCTTTAATTTGATATATATGTCAGGCAATCACATCAACTGGGATTAAGAAAGGTGAATTGCTTTTGGCTGATGTAACCACTGAGCTGAAGAACAAGAACATCACAACCAAAGTGAAAGTTGACACTAATTCTAATGTAAGTTGTAAAACAATTTGATAAGTTTTTGAATTTTAATGGTCATGCTCATATAGTTATTGCATGCAATCCCATTATGAATTCAGCATTGTTTTGGACTAGTACTGTTTTACTCATTGCCATGGTGAATTCAGTATTGGCTTCATTATTATCTCATTCTGAAGAATATGAAGGTAGGAAATTTTTTGGTCTCGTACCATTGGTGTCATCTTGAATTCAGTCTTGACATTATTTCAATTTTTTTCTTTTGTAGCTATTTACCACTTTTACTGTCGATGAACCTGCACCCGGATTGAAGACAATCTTCAGTTTTATTGAACCTGATCAAAGGTCTGGCAAGGTAATGGACATTTCCTTACTCCTGTCATAAACTTTTTCCCAATATTACCAACATTTTCAGGATTCTGGTTTATGTAACGAGCTGTAGCTATGTTTATCAATTGATTCTACAAACTAGTAGGTTTCATTTGGTCATGACCATAGTTACATAAATCGCTCAATTGCCCACGATCTACGTACTGAACGTTGCGATCCAAAACGCGGTACGAACGCGTTCGGATTGTTTCAAAATCGCAATTCGGTACATCGTAGTTTTGCAGCAGGGATAAGAGGAGATGCAATCAGAAAAATAAAGGGATTGGGGGTTTGAGAGAGAAAATCAGAGGAGAAGAAGAGGGATCGGGGAAACCATTCGGGGAAACCAGAAAAAAAACAGTGAGTTGAAGAGCCTTACCTTAGGTGTTGTCATCGTGGCCTCACCGGAGCTGGAAGAGCCCATCATCGTTGTAGTAGACATTGATTCTCTTGAGTTGAAGATCTTGGTCTCCTTGGTAACGACCGGTTGGATCTATACCGAGCTCGGCACAAACAACCTCCCAAAACTTGGCTCCGATTTGGTTGTCGCACTGGCCACCTTGAGTGTGAAGGATCTCACGCATCTTCGATTATTGAGAGAAGAAACCAGAAAAGATAAATGAAGGGATTTAGAGAAAGAGAGAGACGGCAAAATAAGAGATGTAAAATTGAAAATGGAAGTGGGAAGAGCCTGGTTTTTATATAAAATATATTTCATTTAGTTTTGGTCTAATTTTGAGTTTAGATCCTCTATTCTACTCAAATTTAGAGATTAATCCTTTTACTTTTCGAGATAAGAATGCTCAGTCCTGTTCCTAACTACAAACAAAATTGAGCAGTTCAGTTGATAAACCTCAAATCTAAATTAAATAAAATAAGGCAAACAAAACATGCATTTCTAAATTTTTTCTATAATTGATCTCTATCTAAGAAACTGGTACATCGTACCAATTTATATGGTACATCGTACCGGAGCGATCCGAAATAAGTCTACCCCGTACCGAATTTTAGGGACCTAGCGAATTGTGATCCCGTTCTACGTTCCCGTACCGGAGCGTACCGCGATCCATGTGACTATGGTCATGACAAGGTCTTTATCATCGTTGTAACAGGTGGAACTGCAATACCAACATGAGTATGCTGGCATAAGCACTAGCATCGGTTTGACTGCTAAACCCATTGTTAACTTTTCCGGGGTGGTTGGAAATAATTGTGTCTCTGTTGGGACTGATCTTTCATTTGACACTGCCAACGGAAACTTTACCAAATTGAATGCTGGGCTGAATTTCAGCCATTCTGACCTTGTAGCTTCCCTTACATTGTAAGTACAGTTCCTTCAGCATAATTGCTTTAACGTTTAGTTTATATCTACATTGCTATGATATGAACTCTGATGATCCTAGCAAATGGAAAAACTTAAAAGAAAAATCTAACCATACTTGTTTTTGAGGAACATAAGTTTATTACATATTAATATAACGATATTCTCATATGGGACTTTTATTAAATTGCTTTATACGATCAGCTAATTTATTGTCCTGGAAGCATGAAATGATGAAAAGTTGTGCTGAAATATCTGTTTGAATGATTCTCTTTCCATTTTTTAAGCTTCTGCATGTATTCCATTATTCTGCTTGTTATGCTTCTGGTTTTGACAAGGTTATTTTTGTTGATATCGACAGAAATGATAAAGGCGACACTCTTAATGCTTCCTACTACCACATTGTTAGCCCATTGACTAACACAGCTGTTGGTGCGGAGCTGACCCGTAGTTTTTCAATTAATGAGAACTCTCTCACAATCGGTACACAGCATGCTCTTGACCCGTTGACAACAGTGAAGGCTAGACTGAACAACTATGGCAGAGCAAGTGCTCTGATCCAGCATGAGTGGCGCCCGAAATCTCTCTTCACAATCTCTGGAGAGGTGGACACCAGAGCAATTGAAAAGAGCGCTAAAGTTGGGCTGGCATTGGCACTCAAGCCTTAGGGAAAGGCGATATTTCTGCGCAAAAGAAGGCGGGACTTTACCTTTTGAATGATGAAACTGGATGTCTGGAAGACTTAGGAGAGTAATAATGTGAAGGATTTTTAATGATCTTGGATTGGAGAAATAATTGTGATTGATGAACTGAAAATTGGCAATTTGTTTTGTTGAATTTCCAAGGGCGTATAGATTTTAAAGATCAAAGTTTCGTGTAGTCTATTCATTTGTGAAATCAATTGTTGCATACATGCTATTACTCTCGCTTGTTTTCTTTTTTCAGTCATTGAACATAGCAGGTGGATGAAGGAAGGGCCTAATCATAATTGAGACCCTCGATATTTTTTAAGGGTAAATTACACCGTTCCTCACTCTACTTTACACTTTCTATTATTTTGCTCACCGAACTTTCAATTTTTCTAATTTGCTCACTGAACTTTACAAATTAAATCATTTTGCTCACTCTTTGTTTTTCTCTAACGTGGCATTTTTTTTATTATTTAATATAAAATAATTAAAAAATAAAATAAAAACATAAGATGATCGGATGTCATCGTCGGCAACCGTTGACTGTTGTAGAGGGTGACCATTTGGTCTCAAAATGGGATGGTTCGCTTCGCCTCGACGTTGTGAGTTCGAATTCGACCTCCATTTTGTCGGAAGTTGCTCCGAAGTCTATGTGTATACAGTCATTTTCGTCCCGTTATTATTTATATTATTATTTATATATTATTATTGTATTATTACTATAAATATTATTAATAAATACTAAATTTTACTATAGTAGATATTTACAAATCAAGACCCGGAGGCCCGTTTACAAGTTCAACCCGAGTCAGGCCCAAAAATGATCCAGGCCCAACAAGACCAGATCCGATCCAAAAAATCGATTCTTTAGCAGCCAACAAGCTCAGCCGTTGGATCTAGAGAGATCCAACGGCCCAGAATGAATCTAGCAGAAATCCTAGGGTTTACCAACCCTAGGGAGACTTTGGTGTTGCCTCCAACTGCTCCGCCGCTTATATCCAACTGCCCTGCCACCTACATCCAACTACTCTGCCGCTATGTTCCCCAACTAAATTCTGCCACATCACCTAAGGCTCCAGAAGACGCAAAGAGGACCGCACAACTCATCGAAGCTACGGTGAGTCACCATCGTAGATCCGGTGACTCATTGAAGGGTTCAGCAGAATAGTGGCTCATCGAGGCCTATAAAAAGCATTGAAATCCTGCAAAGAAAGATGGGGGAGCAAGGAGGAAGCAACCAACAAAGAAAGCTACGAACAACCAGCAGTAGCCATTTAAAAGCAAAGAAACAAAAGGGAGAAGAAGCATAACTTTGTCGAAGGTCAAAAGTCGTCGGAAACCATTTTACCGAAGGTAAAATCTTAGATCTAGGCTGATTGAAAGACTTTCAGGAAAAAAGGAGGGTGGTTTCGGGTTTAGGGTGTTTCGATCTACGATTTGGTGTATTTTTATTTTTTTCGGTCGTGAATAGTGATCAGAATAATAACCAGCGCGCGGTGAATAGTGACCAACGGTGGTCGGAGCTCCATCCGGTGAGGGAATTTATAGAGAATGGAGAGCTTCTCTTCTCTCTCCTTAGCTCTCCTTAGGGAGAGGTTCTCTCTCCCTTAGAGAGAGAAGCAAAATAGAAAAATGAAGAAAAATAACTTGAAATGGCCATTTAAGGCCTATTTATACCCAAATTAAAACTACGTTGTTTTGGGAGGGAGTGTTTGTATAATTTCATTATGAGAAAACCCTTTCCATGGTCCCTTAAATTTGTAATAGTTTCAAATTGGTCACTAAAATCATGTTTATGTGCCTTTTAATTTGGACTTCGCATTTTATTTTATTTATATTTTAGTCTCTGCTGGTATTTATATATATTTAGGGTAAATATTAGATTTAATCCCTTAGATTTTAATAATTTATAATTTAATTCGAATATTATTTAGGGATAAATTACACTGTTAATACCTATATTTTATTATATTTCGAATTAGGGCTATTAATTTATATATTTTTGTAAATTAATATTATTTTTTAATTTCTTTTATTTTGGTCACTATTTTATTTTATTTTATATTTTATTATTGCTCCTCTATTTTTCAATATTTTTTATTTAGTATTTTAATTTTTATCCCCTATATTTTTAATTATTTTTATTTTAATTCCTTATAATTAATTATGATTAAATTACTATTAATACTTATATTAAATGTTTTATTTATTGATTACATATGTTAGGTGATAAAAATTATATTATATAAATATATTGATAATAAAATCAACATGAGAATAGTATGTTATTAAAGCTATTCAACTACTCTTGACTTTTTAAATTATTAGTTAAGCATGTAGTAATGTATTCAAAGATGATTTTGTTTAAAATATATATTTACTTTATTAGAATATATTTTATTATTAGTCACGCACATGTAGTAATGTATTCAACATGGGAATATATTGGTAATTATTAGTCATATTTATATATATATATATATATATATATATATATATATATATATACTTTATTTAAATTAATTTTTAGGAAAAATTATTATATTCTTATTAATATTTATTTATTTTTTATATCAAATAAAAGGGATGTCTTAAAGTAACTAGATGTCATTTTCTGATATTTGTAAATAAATAAATACCATATTTATAAAACACTACAAAATATAAATATTTACTTCAGTTTTATAAAAATCATTTTCTTTAGAATTATCTGATTGGATCTGAAATAATAAGATCATAAATTAAATTTATATTTGAATTCTTAGACTTTCACTAACAGAGACAATTTTATAATCAATGGGTACTAATTTTGGGCGTTGTGGGGGTGCTAATCCTTCCCCAAACGTAACTGACCATGAATCCTTTTTTATTACTAAAAAGAATGAATTTTGGTTATACGCAGACCAATTTATCTTTTAACTGACGTTTTCTTAAAAACTCTCTTAAAAGGTGTTTTTGAGGTATTCGACCTACCTAACTCAAAAGGGTTAATGGCGACTCTAAAATATTTCCTTAAAAACCCATTTATTTCATTCACATATTTTTCCGCCAAGGAAATTCATGCCTGGGCGAAAATCGGTTACGACAGCTTGGCGACTCTGCTGGGGACCCTGGTCAGTCTCTATAAGTTAGAAATTGAGAATTCATATTTATTTAGTTTACAATTCTTTTTATTTCTTTCAATTCATTTTATTTTATTTTTTATTTTTTATCCTTATATACTAACATTTATTTTTGATTAATTTTCAGATATTAGGATTCATTTTTTAATGGTTGTTTGACAAGGTTTGAGAGTTTATCCTCACACACAACACGTGCATTGCATAAACAAAAGCTCTATAATCGAGCTCTTTTCCCTTTTAAGTAGGAGTGAAAGCGACGTCTTCGTGAGAATTTATTCTCCATGTCAGACCTAGCAAGTAGTTTTCGGGGTCTATGTCTTCATGAGAATTTATTCTCTATGTCAGTCATAGAGAAATGTGTCCCCTCGAATTGAACTCGATCCGCTTAAGTCTGTAATGGATTAGGATTGAGGGTTTGGTAGCCCAAGGGGGCACCAACAATGACAATTCGAGTACCTTTACTCTTAAATCCAAAACCTTGCATATAATAAACCATAGAAATTCACCCAATCTAAGACAATACTAAAACTCTGTCTATAGGTGTACACAAAGGATAAATAAGCTCTTACTTTTGTCTTTTAATTTTTTTTGGAATAAATGCATGTGAACTAGAAATCATGCAGTTAGGTTAATTTTTCCAAACAAAACATGAAACTAGAAAGAATGAGGTTAGAATTTATATATAAATAACGTGATAAATAAAATCTTTTATTTCCATTAATTGGTACTAATCATTTTATTATATATTTTGTAGATACATTTTATTGTGCTCTAACTTGTTTGTATTAATTGCTTTTGTTTGCATTGCATGATCATGACATGATTAGAAGGTATTGATTCAAGAGTGGACATCAAATTGAAAAGTTTTCATATATGGGCACAAAGTTTTATGGTCAAACAAAATATGGCGCAGCTAAGGAATGACATCTTAAAGAAGCTCTAAACAAATGGTAATTTGGATGTTAAGAAGTTAGGAATGAAATCTATCCCATATATGTAAAGTTTTGTTTGATGTACTGAAACTTTTGTGTTCAATGAAATCTGTTTTAAGATGATCACTCTTGATTAACACCTTTTTGCATACATGCATTTTCATTTTATTTTTGTTATATTTGCATTATTATATTTATTTATTTAGCATTTTTTTTGCATTCATTTTCAAAACTTAAAATTAACAAAAAAAGTTTTTTTTTTCTTTTTTCGAAGAATACTGGACACCTACAAGCAACCATATCGTACTCGAAAAAAAGTAATGGATGATAAGATAGATCAACTCGAAAGGACTCAACTGGAAATGCAAGAAAGCTTCAAGAAAGTTCAGGAAGAAATGCATGAACAAATGATGAAAGCCCAAAATGATATGATGAAGAAATTTGAAAGTATGTTACAAGGAAGAAGTATGGATCAAGAAAATACTCTAGCTGTTGCTACTACTGAAGAACCTTTACACCCTCCGGGTTTTACACCATGAGCAGATCGTCAAAAAGCTAAAGTTATTGAGGAACCTTTGTATCCTCCAGGCTTTACACCACCTCATGTTAAGGCCCAGCAAGGAATGGCTACTCAGTCAGGAAGAGTAAACATAAACTTACCTAATGCCTCTATAAACCAACAACAAACTGAAGATGTTCCTGATCTTGATGAAGAGGGTAAAAAAGAACAAACCAAACATGATGTTGAAAAATGGAAACAATTAGTAGAGGAAATTAGGACTATAAAGGAGGACCCTAGCATGTATGGAATTGAGGCTAAAGAATTAAGTTTGGTGTCTGATTTGGTGTTACCGCCTAAGTTCAAGATTCCTGATTTTGAAAAATTCGATGGTACGAAATGCCCCTCTGCTCATATCACAATGTTTTACAGAAAAATGAAAGGTTATATAGGGGATGACAAACTGTTGATTCATTGTTTCCAAGAAAGCATAACAATTTCGGCTATTCGATGGTACAACCAGTTAAGTAAAGCTCATATTAAATCTTGGAAAGATTTGGCAAAATCTTTTCTTGAACAATATAAGCATGTAAAAGATATAAGGCCCAATCGATTTGTATTGTAGAGTATGAAAAAGAAATCCAATGAGAACTTCAGACAATATGCCCAGAGATGGAGGGACATAGAT